CCAAATGCAAAAAATATATAATCATTATAGAGAGCAGCAGTATGGAATCTCGGTGATATTGTTGGTCTATCATCAGGATCACCAGAAGGTATAGTATTAGTCCATATATAAGTGGTAAGATCCAAAACTGCAATGCTGCCTATTGGATAAGAATTATTTGATTGACCTCCGTACATTATTATGCTTCGGTTATTAGTTGTAAGAGTAGCTGTATGACTCCATCGAGAAAAAACAGATCCAGATGTTGTTGCTTTCTATTAAGAAATTTAGAATAAACATATCTTTAAAAAAAAAATGTAGAACGACTGAACGTAAGTACGTACCTTTTGCGACCATTGATCTGCAATAGTGTCATAAATATCAAGCTTTAAAAAATTTTACTATTAACATATTATATAATTAGGAATTAATTGCAATCCGTAATCTAATGATTTTTACCTGCGTTATATCAGGATTATTTATTCCACCTATAAAAATAATTTTTCCATCAGGTATCAGTGTCGCTGTATGTTGCTTACGACCGTTTGGTTGAGTCGTTAAAGTAGAGGCTTCCCAAGAATATTTTAAAACATCAAATATATACAATGCATCACCAAGAGTATTACCCTGAAATAAATAAATAAATATTATTATTAGCAAGGTTTACATAAAACCATTAAAACCATTGTCAGAAATATGAATTGACTTTAATGTTCAATAAAATTGTTTACAGTCAACTCTATAACGAACTGATTTCAAAAATTTCTTATAGAACAATTTACTATGTTTCTATGTCGAACTCTATAATTAATATTTTTTAAAATATTTAGTTATAGAGTAGGTTCGTTATAAAAGGTTAATAGAGTTGTGTCCAAAGTTGACTGTATTAAGTAATAAATATCATCAATTCGAAAAATGCTCTCATAAAAAAAAAGGAACAATATTTATGAAAGAATGAGATTTTCAACATTGTGTAATACATATACAATTTTTTTTTTTTTATATAAATAAATACATACATTGTTATCCTCACCACCCCAAATATACATCTTTGCTTTGGTTGAATCAATCACAGCTGTATGCCATCTTCTTGGGGATGGCCAAGAATTTGAGTTTGAGCCGTTCTTGCTTGTAAGCGTAATATTACTAACAAAAGAATTAGTTTCATTGACTATGACGAGATCATTAATTATTCCTGGAGAAATTACAGTTGCGCCTCCGCCAAAAATGATAATTTCATTTTCATAAACAACCGCACTATAGGCGGCCTTTGGCACTAGTATTCCCTGTGATTGGAATGTTGGATCAGAAGTCGCAAATGGCTGACTCAAATCGATATAAAAAATGTCGCTTAGTCCGACTCCACTTGAATTCGGTCTATTCCATCCGCCGTAAAAATATAGTTTATTTGATATTAATACCGATGCCAACTCTCGTCGTCCAGCAGGAGAGTAGCACTTGATGCATTTGA